CCTCCATGACTTGATCTCACTTCCCTTTCAACTCTGTTCTAGTTGTAGCCTTCACAGCCTCCTGCAGCAAGGAGTTCCACAGGTTGACTCTTTGCTTTGTGAAGAACAACTTTCTGTTACTAGTTTGAAGCCTGCTACCCATTCCTTTCCTTTGGTGTCCTCTAGTCCTTCTATTATGGGAACTAATGAAGAACTTTTCTTGATGCACCCTCTCCACCCCACTCATGCTTTTATAGACCTCTATCCTATCCCCGCTCAGTCTCCTCTTTTCTAAACTGAAAAGTCCCAGTCTCTTTAGACTCTCTTCATATGGGACCTCTTCCAAACCTCTGATCATTTTAGTTGCCCTCCCCTCTCCCATCTCCTTTTCCCAGTCTCCCCGAGTTTTGTTCAATAAAGAGAGATTCTATTTTTGACCACACGTTTTCTTTATTTCTACATCAGGAAGGGGGGCTAGGGAAGGGTAAGTGGAAGGAGGTGAGGGAGGAATGGGGTACGAGCCCCCAATGGGGAGGACTGGGCTGGCTCTGTGGGCATCTGGGGGTGGAAGCTCTCCTGCAGCCCCCCAATTCTCCCTCTCCCCACATGGCAGCCTGCGGCAAGTGCAGCTGGTCTGATGGCCGAGTGCTGTGATGTGCCGAGTGTGGGCACTCAGGGCACTCCAAGACAGGACTGCTTTGCAAGCGGGGCACCCCTGAGAACTGTCTGTCCGGGGTGGGGGTCGGGTCCTTTAAGCACAGCCCTCGGCTAGCCTGAGACAGCAGCTCCCCGCTCTAAGTCCTCATCTGATGCCCTGCCGGCACTGCTTCCGGCCATCCTTAACCCCGGTTCAGGGTCCACTTAATGTGGACATGCTAGTTCGAATTAGCAAAATGCTAATTCGAACTAATTTTTTAGTCTGGATGCGTTAGTTCGAATTAGCATAGTTCGAATTAACTAAGTTAGTTCGAATTAGCGCTGTAGTGTAGACATACCCTAGGAGTGGGAAGTAAATACCTTGTACTAAGCCAAGAAGTTTCTCTGGGGAAAATTAATTTTTAAATATATAACATTTGGAGTAAACTTCTCCATTGAACATGCAAAAAAACCCATGCATTTCAACATTATATTGTAGAGCCTCATAAATAAGTGATTTCTGTCAGAAATAGTTTGGCTGTGTTCAGAACATCAGTCACAAACATCCCTAGTTTCTGCCCATATTTGCCTATAGTTTCTGACCACAATAATTTCCAGGGCATTATCATTTAAATGTCATTAGCAGCCAGGTTCTGATTCCTTATCATAGTCAAAGGGTACAAAACCAAAGTAAATGGAATTTTAAAATAAATCAAATTATGGCCTAAAATAGGAGACTTAACTGTAAGAATAACTCAAGAATGTGCTATCACAAACTCATGACATCAAGACCATGTTCAGGTAAATGAGTAAGTAGCTGTTAAAATCCATTACTTCAAGTCTAAGTCAGATATATTGGTAATACTGAAAATAGAAAAAGGCTAATCAAAATGTAAACTAAAATCTTCTAAACACAGTAAAAGACCAAACAATGGTTACCAAATCTGAAAGCACAGGTCCTTGCTGAAGTCTTCTACATGCATACAGAACAGAATGGTAAATAATGACCACAACAGTACCTGGAAAGCAGACAAAAACTTGGTACTCAAAAACAGATCATAATACCTTTTGCAGTCTTATGTAAATTACTCAACGCCTCTCTCAGGCGCTAGGGATGAACTAGCCCCATCACCACTATCCTTCTAGGTAGCAAAGTGAAAAAAAGAATAGCTGTTTTTAGTCAAGATTGTCCTCGAAGAAGAATAGTCCCCAAATCCAGGTCTTTCGAGACATAAAGGTCATGAAAAATGCAGATTTATTGCCAAACCACTTGCCAAGCATTCAAAAGTGAAGTCACATGGGATAGTATTCAGTAGCAATGAAATTAGTCATATGTTATAATTTGGTCATATAATCATTAAACAGCTCCAAAAAGAAGGAAACTTACTGACACTCCATTCTACATGCACGAGTGGTTTATCAAAAAAAGGTGTGGGCACTTTTTTTGCAAATAAAATATCAGAAGTCAGAAATTGTTTCCACTTTCACCTACTTGAGTCTTGTTACCTTGTAATAAGTTTTGCTCATTTGAACTGGAATGTTGGCAAGTCAACGGATTATTCAAGTATGAGTTTCTGCTCCCATTAGAGAACATAATCTTGTGATCATAAGAGGAAAGTGGAAGTCTCTACTGGATTCTGTTCCTGGCTCTACCGTTGACCCAGATGTGACCTTGGGCAAATCAGCTACACTCTGTGCTCTATATATAATGATATTGTAATGTTTGTATCCTCATGAAGGAAGTGTTAAAAGGCTTTAAAAACCACATTGAATAGGCTAAGCACTATATAAATGCACAGTATTATTATTTTTAGAAGGAGCTTAAAACTGAAGGAGACAATACTCAGTGATACACATTTTCAATCTTACTACATTAAAATTCCTTTGGAATACAATATGGCAAGCAAGAATATTGTCATATAAGCATATTCAATTATATCTATATGTTAAAGCAGTGGTTGCCAACCTTTTTCTTTCTGATACCCTCCACCCCAAAATTCTATAAAAACTCCATGATCCCCGTGTGGCACAACTGTTTTTCTGCATATCTAGTAGATTAAAAGCTGTAGTAAAGTAAAAGTTATATAGCTAAACACACACACATATATAATACAAAAAATAAAAGGGTAAAATAGGGACAAATATTAAAGAAGGAATATTAGTTTTGTTTTACTTACTCCGGCTGAAATTTGTTGCTTGGTGGCTCACTGTGGTGAGCCAGTGGGGGAAGATAGTGCTCCCTTCCTAAGCTCTGCTGCACAGGGCTGAAGCCAGAGCAAAAGCCCTGTCAACCAGGGCTGAAGCACAAGTCCCACCATTTGAAGCTGAAGTCTGAGCCCAAGTCCCGTCGCCCAGGGCTGAAGACAGGAGGTGAGGGGCAGCGATCTATTTTGGCAGACCGCCTGAAACCTGCTTGCTGCAGACCCCCAGTTGACAACCAATGTCATAATTACCGAGATGCAGACCACAGAAATGGGTCTTTTTATAACTGCGTAAATATTGAATCACTAGAGCAACCTTAACCATCTTAAGTGCTATGTTATCAAGAGATACTGAGCCAAATGCAACCCTGGAATATCATTGCTGAAGACAACAGAATTACACCAGGGATCAATTTGGCATATTCATTATAATAACACTTCAGTTCAAAAGGCCTGCTGCCAATACACAGTGAAAGATAAAAAAAATTACATGATGTGGCTAAAAATGTAGCATCTTACTAGCAACAGTGAATGAAGTTTCCCTTTGAAGCCAACTTGTCTTTTTTCTGGTAACATGTCCATGGTCAGAAGCATCTCTATATAGGTTAACAAAGTGTATTTCTAGTCTATGCATAAACATACCTTATTAATTTTTGAAGACTGTTATGGGTTGTTGCTTTCAGTTGTTTTTGGCAGCTTCCCTAAAGTTCCTTTCCTATCTAAACCATATTAATGGTAGAAACTAATTTACTGATTATTTTTGCTTCCATTTAACAATGGGTGATTGTTAGCAGCTGTTAAATTTGGTCACATTAGACCCCTCTTCCACATGAAGGCATCTGCTGTATGAAGAGGTCCTTACCATACCGTATTACATGTTGCCTTACATACTTACTGGGAAATGTAATGGATTATGTGTAATTAATTATTATTTATATGTGTTACTAGAAATATGTGCATTGGCTAATGTGTAACTGGAAATAAAATGCTTTATGATCAAGGTCATCATATCTTCTTTTAAGGTAGAATGACTCTACTGCAGTTCCTAGTCAAGGTTCTGATTGGTGCTGAAGATCTAAAACACCTTTTGAAATACAATGATGGATATTAACAGGTTAGTAGAAAACCTAGCTTTCAAGATGCTCTGACTCACTAGAATCAGAATGTTTCAAAGGCAAGAATTCATGTTCCTAACCAGTGTTACTGGCAGTAATCCCCATCCACTCCCATGCTTACTACAAGTATTGAAAGAGAATGGTTCCCAAAAAGAGCGGGGAATGCAAATTAAAGAGTGTTTAACTAAGGTAGTGTGGTCTGGTGGCTAGCACACCAACATAGGCAATAGGAAATCTCTGTTGTATTCTCACCTTTTCCACTGAGTGACTCTATGACATTGGGCAAGTCACTTTACCTCTTTGTGCCTCTTTCTCTTCCTACACTTTGTTGGTCTTGTTTTCTAATGCTGTAAGTTCTTTAAGGCAGGTACTATCCCTGATTATGTGTTTGTACAGTGCCAAGCACAGTGGAGTCCTGGTTGAGGCATATAGATGCTACCTTAATGCAGTTGTAAATAATATGTCCCTTTCTTATCACTTAATTGCAGGGAAAGCTGTACATTCACTTATACTGTTTCTGAATGCCACTATAGATAATTCTTACATTGCTTGCATCTTTTTCTATTGGCCACAGAGTACAGTATTTAACTAACTAACTCAGCCCCTATGATTAAAAATGCTCAAAGGAACAAGTCACACATTGTAGTATAATGGGAACTGATAAATAGCCTGAAGTCAAATGTGGGAAAATTAGCTTCTCTACTTGATGTGAATTAAGGATGTTAAATCTGGATTAATCAACTAATTGAACAGTGGATACAATTTGTATCAACTATTCGATTAGTCGATAAGGATGCTTCCACCTTTGAAATGTAGCAAGAGACCTGCTGGCACTTGCTACATCTAAAAGGCAGAAACGCCGTGGGGAACACCGGGCCAGTGGGGGACTGCTAGAGTCCCCTGCTGGCTCTATGGTCCCCATGCGCACTTTGCTTTTGAAATGTACCAGAGCCCCCAAAGAGCATTTCAAGAGCATTTCAAAAGCAGGGAGCACGGGGCCAGCAGGGAGAAGAAAGCGACTAGTCGAGTCACTAGTCAACTAGTCGGTTACATCCCTAATGTGAACATGGTCCAATGGGAGGGGGGAATACTGCCCATGGACCAGAGGCTTATGACCCTCCAGGCCACAGAAAGTTCCACAGTGTAGCAGGGCACTCAGACAGACTGCCTACCTTCAGCTCCCAGAAGTCACTGGCTGCCACTAGCAAATGTGTCGCTGTGTGCCCCTTGTGGAGAGGAGACAGTGGGTCTCCATGTGCTGCTCCCACCCATAGCACCAACTCCATAGATCCCACTGATCAGAAACTGGCCAAAGTCTATGCAATACAGATAGTTATTTTTCTGGTAATATATTTTTTATTTATTTATGTGTTTATTTATATTGGACCCAAAGATTTTTGTTTTGTTATTAGGCAGGTCAGCAAACTGCTGATAACAGTAATATTTCAGTGGTACCTGGGAGTAATTGGGCAGGTGAGGTATTTCAAAACTCACTCATATTTACATCTTATTTTCTCCACAATTGTTATGATTGTGATTAACAAGAATTTTGTAACACTGCTTTCTAAATAAACATATTAATTCTAAATGGCTCAGAGACATAACTTCTTTTATTATTAGTGCTAGACAATGTAAGGGGATGGCTGGGAGACAAAGAGCCAATGCCATCCAATTTTGAATAGCATATAAAAGAAACACTGAGAGTCACTGATGCTATACTCCTTAATGTTGTCTCATACATAATGCTTTTTTGGGGGGCGAAATCAGTTTAAAAAGCCTGCTTCTAGAAAAGCCAATGCACCAAATTCTCATTGTCTTTTATAGTAGCTTTATCTAATGTGAAAAACAAATATTTATGTTGGTTTAGGCTTTTGTTCTTATTTGTATTAGTTTTTACTCATGCACACTTTCATTGTATTGGGCAGAAGATCTAAGCACACAATTCTTAATGGGTGTTTCCTTCTATAGTAGAACAGTCATTTTTTTTCAACTAAGGAAGGCAGCAAAATCCCAAGAAATAAGAAGGTCTTTTCTGCTGCAGAAAACCACTGTATTTTCACAATATGTCCATTGTCTGGGAGCTAGAGGATGGCTAACAATAATGAACCTTGAGCATCCTGTGGCACCTTAGAGAATAACAAATATCATGAGCTTTTGTGGGTAAAACCCAGTGAACCAGGAATATACCAAGCTAGATAAAAATAACAATGATAAATTACAGAGTTAGGGTTATAAGCAGAAAAGAATTTAGCCAAAAGTTTAAAACCCTAGTGTTTCTTCCCCTAAATTAAATGTTACTTGCAGCTACAATTTAAATTTTTGCTTCAGATTGAATTTTCTGTTATTACTGAATTTAGATATGCTGAAATCTCATTTCCTTCTGTTTAGAGAAAGATTGTAGTTTTGTTAACAAATATGGACCTCCTATCTACAAAGCTATGTAAATATACTGATTAGATTAGACAAATACCAGATTCCAAAATCCAAATAAAATCTTAGCCAAGACAATGAAATAGTAAAATAAAACTTAAAGAATATGCAACCCATATAAGTTTAGATTCCCTTACTTCTGGTAAGCAAGAGCCATCATAGATGGGGTCTGCATTAGCAGCAATGGCTAAGCAGTCATATACATTTCAATCAGCTTTGCAGAGCAATGCTTTGTATAATTTAATAGGAAGTTGACTAAATGCTAAAGCGGATAAATAGCTTGATATTCATCCCTACAATGTACAGGGCTTTTTTTTTTTTTTAATAACTAGTCTCTTCCCATACGAACCAGGAAAAAAACCCATCAACAACATACAAGAGACATCTTTTTTCCGACTGGCTTCTCCTGAGCCAGGCATTGAAGCCTCGTCATCACTCATCACTGCACATATCCAACCTCCTCCACTTTGCATCCCCGGGACCAACCTTGGGCATTCGGATGTGCTCCATGACGTCCAGACAGCTCCCAGATGTGACTGTCGTACACCTTCCCCAATGAGCAGAGACGGATTCATAGGGAGCTGTAGTCTGTGTATCAGAATGTTATTTTCCTGGGCGCGGGGGGGATATAGGAGGGGGTGGGGGATACACTGTACCTCTGTTTCGATGCTTGCAGGTCACTGATTGGCTCCTCCCCCAAGGGCAGCTCCATGCTTCCTTCTCCCCCTCCCCCCTTCTAGCATAGATGCAGCCAGAGCCTGCACAGGCGACAAGCAGTCAGCAAGGCCCTAAAGACTGACAGGTTCAGGCTTGTCTTTACCTAGTGCCGCACTAGAGGTGTCGGAGCCAGTGAATGCATCTGTGGCTAAAGTTGCCTGCGGTTGCAAATTCTGACATTACTTGATATCAGCATTTACTCTATTATTTAAAAAGCATCCCCTCATCCTAGGTCCTGGAGAAGGACAATGTGGCAGGTGAGAGAGGGACTGCCTGTCAGAATTGTTCATCCTCTCTGCTCCAAAATATGCGATTTCCAGAAACCGGTCGCTGACTTTGCAGCGGTCCCTGACCCCAAGGCCCAAGAGATGGGGGTTTTGATATCTGACAGCCACCTTGTTAGGAATTGCATCCTCAACTTTGCGCGGGGGAGGGGGAGATACGACTGGTGACGCCACCGCTGCCGTTCGCCGTGCGTCAGAAATGGTCCTTGCCCTAGTATGCAGGGACCAAAGAGACCCACCCCATGAGTGAGTTCCCCAGCCTGTCCTTTGCTGTTGGCTCGAGAGCAAAGAGGACAAGCAGCTTTCTCTGGCCAAGCGGGAATTGCCAGCCTCTCTCTGCACAAAGAGAGGAACTCGTGGTCTCTCTTCAGCGCCACGTGCCCATGGCTGGAACTGTCAATAACACACAGAGATTGGCCCGTGAGCCCTCCCCATCAGGGATTCACTTCGACCCTCCTGGGGATCGGTGACTTGTCCGAAAGGACGGGGCCAGATCGAAGGCTGCAGGCACACGTGGCTGGGGGATACGCGCGCACAGACACGACTAAGTGCAAAGGGAAGGGGGTGTGGATGTCTATGCTGTGTCCGTCAGCAGCTCCCGCCCCTAGCCCCAGCTCCATGCTTCTTCTCTGCTTTCCTCTGGGGAGCTGGGGTAGGTGGGACGTGCGTGTGTGTATTGGTTATACTGCCAGGGTATGGTTGTAAACACTGGAAGGAAGCGTCTATTCCTGATGAGAGATGGGGACCGCCGAGCGAGAGTAATTTGGAACAGATGCTGGTGGGCGGCGGTTTACAGCTTTCCCAGTAGAGCCCCGCAACACTGCGCAGGCACTGGGCTGCTGCAAACTGCGGCTTAGTGTGGCAGTCTCCCTGGATATGGTGCTATGGAGCTCCAGCCACCCTTATGTATGCAACTTTCCCCCCACCCCGTTTACACACGCTTCCCCGTTTCTGCAGCTGCTCCAGCGGATGTTACTGGGCATGCTCGGAGGGCTTACGCGCGCTCCCTAGCACTGAGATAAGATCTACATTGAACTGGACTAGGGCCGTGCGTGCCTGGGTTTCGGCACTCTTCTCTAGACCCTGCAGGGAAAGCGCTTGTTGAAGGTCGGGATATGTGGTTAAGTGTCCCCCTACGTACATCTTAACTCCATTGGGGAGTTCCACCTGATCTCCTCTGTTTTGAGATATCACTAGCCGCCATCAAATCCAGTAGAGTTTTAATCATTTCAATTCACAATATCTAATTATGACCTGAAATGAGGGCTGGGAAGGCTCTTGCTTGTAAGTACATGAATTTGATCCCTAACCATATCTGCATTTACCAGTTTTTGAATATCACAAACTGCACGTTAACTAGATGCACATTTTTTCTTTCTTCTGATGGTTTTGGCTCAGACAACTTCTATCTGAATCAATAATTATCCAAGAGAGAAAAGACAAAAAGAAGACAAAGTGAGTAGATCGGGATCTACTGGGAGATCTTGGAGGCTCTAACAGGGGATCCTGATGGGTTTGGCCAAGAGGCTATCAAGTGCCAGCAATTCAACTGCCCCTTACCTGCCAGT